ACCCCTAATTTGACTTCACAGGCTTCTTTCTCCCAGGAAGCTCCTTTTCCACTACACAATCATTTTACAGATGTCCTATTTCCCAAAAAGTTAACTATCTAACTACCATGTGTCTCAGTCATTCTACTCCTAGGTAGTTGCCTAAGAAAAATTAAAGTATATGCCCATACAAGACATACACAAATGTTCATAGCAGCTTTATTTTTAAGAGCCAGGTCAGGCATGGTGGCTCACACCTGTAATTTCAGCACTCTGGGAGGCTAAGATGGGTCAATCACTTGAGGTCAGAAGTTCGAAACCAGCCTGGCCAATATGGCAAAACCCTGTCTCCACTAAAAATACAAAGATTAGTTAGATGTGGTGGTGTGCATCTGTAATCCCAGCCTCTTGAGAGGCTGAGGAAGGAGAATCACTTGAACCTTGGCGGCAAACGTTGCAGTGAGCTGAGATTGCACCACTGCACTCCAGCCTGGGCAACAGAGACTCGGTTTCAAAAGAAACAACCTGAATGCCTGTCAGCAGGTGAATGCATATGCAAATTGTATATATCCATACAATAGTCATGCAGTAGAACACTCAGCAATACAAAGGAGCAAACTTTTGATAAATCCAACAACATGGATGAATCTCCAAATAATTACGCTAACTAAAAGAAGCCAGACAAAAAATAGTTTACAGCATATGATGCTAATTAAATTTTTGAAAATGCATATTAATGACAGAGAGCAGATTAGTGGCTTCCATGGGATTGATTACAACAGGCCATGAGGAAATGTTAGGAAGTGATGGTGATAGGTGGGTGATTGCTGTGATGGATTCATGAGTATATACATGCGTCAAAAGTCACCAAATTGAACATTTTATGTATGTTCAGTCAATTACACCTCAATAAATCTTTCTGTAAAACCCAGGGTCATCAAGCCAGTAAGTAGCATTTCCACCACAGGGCTCTCTAGCAGCTCCATGGGCAATTCAATCAAGTGTTCTCAATGGGAATTATCCAGATACATAAAGAGCACCCAATGTTAAGATGCAAGTAAAATGCAGACGTCCCACCTTCCAGTATAAATCTTTCCTCTTATCAAACTCCTAGTGAGAAAATTAAGTCTATATATTGTTACCTTTCAAGTTAATGTACAAAGACAAAAATAATCAAATTCTCTCACTGTAATCAGGTAAAAGTTTAATAAAATTAAGTCCTTCCCAGTTTCCTATTGTATTCACTCACAGGCACAAATGTTCTTAATGCCTCTGAGCATTCCTTCAGTAGCTGCTGCCTGGGTGTCTTTTACGGATATGGATACAACACATTCATTCAGCACCTCAAAAGTTAAATTCAACAACTCTATGGTATGCCTCAGCTTACAAAAGGTCTGGAAGTTTAATAAAACACCTAAGATAAGAACAATACTTGCCTTATACTCACCAAATTTAAAAGGCAGTTATCCTGTACAAAATTAGGCTCCCAGAACTCAGTAGTATTTACTGCCAAAGACAACATGTAGCAGAAACTTTATAGTAGGAACTCATGAATCTGTAGAGGAAGGATAACCAGCAATCGCTTTAGCCTCATCAAAATGCCAGTCACATGGGCTGCACACTTAAACTAAGGTGGAAGAAATTTGTCATCAAGAAGTTAAACTTTTCACCATGCATTTAGCATGGCACACTGTATTTTGTCTTTCAGAAAGTGTCATTTGAAACACTGATGCTATCTTACAAAGTACAGAATTTGCAGTGGTGCAGTCCCAATCACCAAATCAAAGGAGACCTGACCTTTCCCCAGTATTTTCAAATCTCTTCATCATCAAAAAAATTTTTACACTGCATTTCAATGACTCTCAGAACAATTTAAACCTTGAGCTTTTCTAGAACTTTATCCTGCATCCAAGGCACATCTACCTTTAAGTTTAAAAGTAGCAAATACTGATAGTCATTATCTAGCATAGCTATGAATATTCCTTTTTCTATCATTAAATCATTGCCTTGAATAAAATTGTTTTCTGGTGTCTTAGCAGCATCTGATGAGGCCCCTGCTGCTCATACATGCATATTTAATGTAGGCCAAGGTCAAGCTGCAGCAGCCTGCATGAGACCATCTGCACATGCCAGTGCCTTTGTTGATGCCAGCACCACTAGAGTAGCCTGCTAAGCCTCACCTTGGGCTGGCATCTGGTGAGGACACTCATGAGGCCAGTGTTTGAGTGAGCCCCACTTCCACATTCTGTCTTTGCTGAAGCCAGTGTGTCCCCATTCCCCCGACTCAAATTCTGCTTCATTGAGACCTACAGATGTGCTTAAAGCCCTGTATTACACTGTCTCTATAGAAATTACCAATTTCTCTGAACAAAGATACCCTAAACTTTTAGGTCAAAATCCCATATGCCTTAAGTCTTAAAGCTTCTTGCCAAAACTGCAACTAAAAGCCTACTTCAAACAAAATCAAATTAATAGCCCTAATAAAAGCCTCTACAAACTACCAAGATCAAAGCTACCTATGTACACATTAAGGTCTGAAACCAGAAATCATCAGCTCTGGCCATAGTTAAGCCTCTCTACTTCTATGTTGTGTTCCTTCAAATTTTATTTCTATTTCTTGATGTACTTACCCATACAACACAATTTTCTGGATACATTTTCCAAAACAGGCCTCTTTCCTGCCATGTCCAACCCCCTTCTACTCTTCATCAGTAGAGCCTGTTCTTCACTTATGGTATTAGAATAGCAATTAAGAGTATATGCACTCGGCTGACAGCCGAGGTCCTCCTCCCAAACATCTATTTTTTACTTTACCTCCCCTGGGTGGAACAAGTGGGACAAGAAGTGAAGATACTATGAGTGTTAGGATGATGGTGACTTCTCCATATGGAAGAAACAATAAGAACTGATAGGAAGTATTACCCCCATCAGTAATAATATACATATTCTTTGTAACTATTTATTAAATATTTAAATACCTACCAAGCTTGCTTTCCATTGAAACTTTCCTCATGCTCTTTCACTTCTTTTTAGTCCTGAAGGCTTTCCTCAAATGTTATTTCACACATGACTTTCTCTAACTTCTTAAACCAAACAAAACCTCTTTCTTCTCTGAGGCCCTGGTCCAACATTTTTAAAGTGTGGTGAGGAGCAACCACAGCAGAATCACCAGTGTTGCCTGTTAAAACATCTATGCAACAATCTTGCATGTTCTTCACATGTACCCCAAAACCTAAAATGCAATTAAAAAAAAAAAAAAAAACATCACTTTGGGAGGCCGAGGCGGGTGGATCACGAGGTCAAGAGATCGAGATCATCCTGGTCAACATGGTGAAACCCTGTCTCTACTAAAAATACAAAAAATTAGCTGGGAATGGTAGCAAGTGCCTGTAATCTCAGCTACTTGGGAGGCTGAGGCAGGAGAATTGCTTGAACCCAGGAGGCGGAGGTTGCGGTGAGCAAGATTGCGCCATTGCACTCCAGCCTGGGTAACAAGAGCGAAACTCCGTCTCAAAAAAACAACAATAACAACAACAACAAAACATCTATTACTAAACCCATCTACAGTATCCAAATTTCTTAGTGTAGGGTCCTCAAACATGCCTCTTAAGAAGCCTCTAGGCCAGGCACAGTGGTTCACACCTATAATCTCAGCACTTTGTGGCCAAGACTGAGACAGGAGGATCCCTGAGGCCAGTTCAAAACCAGCCTGGGCAAGGCTGAACATGGCGAGACTTCATCTCTAAAGAAAAATGTTAGCCAGGTGTGGCGGCATGCACCTATAGACCCAGCTACTCATGAGGCTGAGCAGGATCACTTGAGCCCAGGAGTTTGAGGCTGCAGTGAGCCATGATCACACCACTGCACTCCAGCTTGGGCAAGAGACCGTTTCTAATATTAAAAAAAAAAATGTAAAGTTTCCTGGGTGCTTTATTGATGCACTAAAATCTAAACCTTTTGCTTTATCTGACTGTCCCTGATTACTTTTTCCCCTATTATATCTGGCATTTATTCCTCTACAAGAACTTCGGAATTTTTTTTTTTTTTTTGAAGAGTAACTCTTTTAACACAAACCTTGAATAAAGTAGCTGTTTAACGAAGTTGTTAAAATGAACATAACTTCACTTGTCTCTCCAAAGGACTAGATGTCCTTCCATGTTTTGTTATGATAAAGTGTCTAAATGTGAAAATGCATACAAATTATAAAGCAATTTATTGAAATAATTTATCCTGGATCATGATGTACTGTCTTCACCAATGCAGCCAAATTTAGGCTTTCTGGGCTGCTTATTTTAAATGCAATATCGTGCAATGCAAATTTCTAAGCATTGCTTTTCTGTGTGATAAAAAGTTCAGTGTTATCTAAGAACTTCCTACTGATCTTTAAATAGTTTTTTATATAGAAATTACCATATATTTTTATTATATAGAAATATAGTGCAAGAGCTCCCTAAAACCTTAATGCAATTTTCAGACTCTATTTGCTATCATTTATACAATTTTATCATTCAATATTTGGCAAGTATTATTGGTCAGTTCTTTTTGCTTACAATGACTATATATAGCCAAGCCTTTCCCATTCTACTGCAATTTCCAAAGCATGAGAAGCAGTTATCCCAATGGTTAGCTAACCTTGGCTCACAAGGGTACCAAGAAGGGAGACACAGAGATAATGTTTTTAAAGCACAGGGTCCACAGGAACTGGAAAGCTTAATTCTTGCTGTGACACTACAGGGTTTCTGTCATCATTTAAAAGACCTTACACTAATAAGCCATGTACTTCAATTTAAGGGAATGTTTATAAATATCAGACTCTGAGTTCACTGATTTATCAAGGTCACTTTGTTATATGGTGAGGGCAGTTTATTTAAGCACCCATTCACCCTGCTACATGTAGTTAATTTAAAATAAATAGTCCAAGGGAAGTCTTTGCCTCCCTCATCATTAAAATGAATTTTAAAACCACATAACTGATTACTCAATTGAAACATTCCACTGAAATGCTTCATTGATAGCTCCGATTCCTTATTTTTAAAACATTTTATTTCCTATAAATTTCATATGGAAACAGAAGTATTACATGCTTGGGACTGTCTTGCAAATAGGAGGTTCTTTCACTTCTTCAGGCCAACCTTCCTTCAGAGGCAAATAAATAAGACACATATGTAGAACATATAAAGAAAGTTTTGTTACCAGAATAAAAATATGTGAACATTTTCTATTTAGGATAGTTTAGCAATCCAGTTTATGCTGACAAATTTAGTTCATTGCTGGAAGGCACTTGTCACAGAAGAACATAATAAGGAGTAGATATTTTAACTTGTAAGAACAAAACGTTTAACTTTTTTCTTGAATTTTTTGAAGAAGGTACTCCATTTGTAAATTCAAGTTTGGTTGGCCCTTTTTAGTTTTTTTGTTCAATATTTTAAACACTTCCATTTTCTTCTTTTTGTACCTCCTTTGGGCTTCTTCTCTCTCCTGTTTTCTCCTCTCGAATTCCTAAAATTATTAACATATGTAACTTTCATTAGCGACAAACAGTAGATACAGTTCAGAAACTGTTTTGAAATAGCTATTACTAAGCAAACACTCTAAGGTTTGTCTATTTTGCAAGATGTGCACCGTTTCCCCTAATTGAAGTAAAGTACCCTGTTTTCCTTCACATTATAACAATACATGATATAACAGGAAATTTTCATGATCACAAAGCCCCAGCTCTATATAAAGGAAATTTTAAGAGGACACGAAATGTTTCACAGCATAATGGTCATTACTGCACTTCATCTGATATACTTTTTCCAAAGGTGGCAAATGGTTAGAAAAAAGCATAAAGCTGTGCTAGTTAATACTGGTCTAGTATTCCCATGCAGAATTTTTTTGCTTTCTCCTTATCTACCAACAGCTTAAGGACAATGAAAACATTTTAGATGTGAAGATTTCTTAATTACAGATATTCTAAAGCAAAAAACAAGCAAAATTATGTATCATCTTTGAGGTATTTTTGACCGATACACTATCCTTTTTAAAGTTACAGATTAATAAAACTTCAATGCAAAAACAAGAACTACCACAGTTTCAACAAAATAACAATTTTGTTGAGGCTGTGGGTAATTTTATCGTATTCATTTGAAAAAACGTCTAATTCTGTTCTACAATTCTGGTTTTCTAAATGACAACAGAGTGCTGACTTTAGCTAAGTTAAAACAGTAGGTTTTTTTAACAGGCAAAACCAACTCTATATAGTAAAGAAGTATTTTATTCTAACACCTCCCCTTTTGCGTTTAGTTACTTCAATACGATGTTATAAAAAAAAAAAATTCCACATTTTTATTATGTCAGTGGTTCTCAAGTTTTATTATACATAAAATTATACATAAAAAATTTCTTGAGGTGCTTGTTAACACCATACTGGACCATACTTAGACAAACTTTGTCCCAGATGTTCATATTATTAACCTATAAACAATGTGTTTAAAATCATGTTCTTGACCTACTAGCATTCCTTGAGATAATTAATATAAGCAAGGAATTTTAATATGATGCAATCCTCAACCTTTGCTCAGATCACTCATTCATTCAACAAACATTTACAGAGAGAATACAGCACCGAGAAGCACAACAGGTGTAGTACACATATTTAGGATAAATAAGAAAAATTATACTAAATATTTTTAAAGTAGAACTTACTTGTTTCTTAGCAGCACGTTTAGCTTGTATCTGTTCATATTCTTCTTGTGCTTTTTGATTTGATGTTTTCTTTTTATTTTTCTTTGGAACTGTGAAGGAGCTTTTAATTGGGGGACAAAGAAACAAGACTATTAGTAAAATGTCTGAAATTGAAAAGGTATTAAAAACAAAGTTGTAGCTTTTAAGAGTACACATTAACTAAAAGGCACAAATGTGGATTCTTACAGAAATATTTCAACTAGGAAAAAATATAGAAAGCTATGAAAGATCCTAAAATGTTTTAAAAAAACTTAAAACAAATGAAACCAGTATATGAATGACAGAAATGCCAGACTGAAAAAGGAATTGCATTTAAGGATGTTAAGAAAATTATGTATATATATGAATTTTAATCTCAAAGTTTTCTGACCCCCTCCACTCTATTCCATTTCATCTACTTAGTCATGAATCACCATTATCTTGGACCTAGACATCATTTCCAACTGTTCTATCTTTAAGTACTTCTCACCTCTCTGAAGGTTTCCCTTTTGCCAAGGCTAATTCAACTACTTGGAATTCCATGCATTTCCTCAGTATCTTTGATTCAGTAATAACTTTCCTTTCCTCTGTCACTCAACTTTTCACTATACTCTAAATACTAAAATATAGTATTTTAATAGCCACCTCCTTAAACAAATGAATTAACCATCATAAGACTTTATGTCCCCTTTTAACTATCAATTTTGTTTCCTTACCTTTGTAGTCAGGTTTCTAGAAAGATTAGTGAACAGACTATGATTGTCACTTCCCATTTGCTCCTTGATGTTTTGATATCTGATTTCTGCTTCTCACCACTCGAATCAAACTGTCCATGCCAAGACAGTGATGACTTTCTAGCAGCCAAATATGATGATCAATAGGAACTTTTAGTCTTTTTTAATGGACTACTCACTTTACTCCTGATAATTCCACTCTCTTAGTGTGAGTCACATTCTTTTCTCCTGATCTGTTCTAATTGTTCCTTCTTAGTTTGTCAAACTAGAGCCTCTCTGTCTTCCTCAGTGCAGATTTTTCCCCCAAGACGTTTCTCTTCTTAGTCTCCATACTCTACTTGTGTTTGAGCTGTCGGATCTATGACCACGACTTCAGATGCCACATGTATGTATGGCTGAAAGCTTAATCAGGGGCTATCTATTGAAAATCTCTCCAAAGTCACTAGTGACTGCCTAGTCCACAAATCCAGGGACCTGTTCTCAGTCCTATTCACCTTAAAACTTTACAGTACAGTAGCACACCCCTTATCCATGGTTTCCCTGCTCCATGGTTTGTTACTTTCAGTCAACAGAGGTATAAAAATATTAAATGGAAAAATTCCAGAAATAAACAATTCATATGTTTTAAATTGTACACCATTCTGACTGTTTGCTTTAAGTGAAAAGGTAAAAGCTCTTGACTTAAGGAAAGAAAAAAGTCATGTGCTGAAGTTGCTAAAATCTATGGTTAAAAAAAAAATCTATCCATCAAATTGTGAAGGAAAAATAAATTCATGCTAGTTTTGCTGTCACACTTCAAACTGCAAAAGTTATAGACACAGTTCATGATTTAAGATGGAAAAGCCATTAAATTTGCACGTAAAAGACATTAACAGAAACATATTCCAATCGACAGAAATTGGGTTTGGTATCACTTGCAGTTTCAGGCATCCACTAGGGTCTTGGAATATCTTCCAAACAGGTAACAGAGGACCACGATATTTAATAGTTGACTAATCTGTACATCCCACAACTTTTCTCTGTGAACTTAGCTGTCACTGTATTCCTAATTCTTCAATTCTGAAAAGCTTACTTAACTTATTCAATGATGACATTTTCCCTGTTTCCACCCCAAAATAAACAGTAATCTTTAAAAGCATAATTTTTTACCTTCCTCTCTCATGATTTAAACTTCTTCACTTCAATTATCAGAAAATAACTCAAATCTACATTTCTAGTGCTGATCTTTTCCCTGAGCTTTACACTGATTATTTAACAATATAATAATCAAGTCTACCAAAAGTAAACTTTCTGTGTCTCTGCCTTCATCCCCAATTATATTCCTCCTGCCTGTGGTCCCATTTCCTGTTATTTTTAGCAAGAAGAGCTCACAACTTTAAAAGACAAGGTCTTAATGAAGTAAAAAGTTATGCTCCCAAGTTAACACCTAGCTTCTTGCAATTTTAGATTTTAGGATGGTTTAAGTTGAAATATGTGCAGTAATAGTTTTCTGTAAGTTAACTCTTATAAAACCAAAGTGTCATGGAGCTGTGCATTTGTTTTATAATTGCAAACCATTTCTGGTCCTCTGCAGAAAATCCAGATTAACAGTAGCAGCTAACACTCAAGAGCACTAACCATGTATTATATACACCCTTTTAAGATCCTCATATACGTTAACTCACTGAGTCTTCACAACAATGTCACGAAACACTTTAGCAACACCGGAGTTTATGTGAGTAATCCATTCTGGAGCTGTGCAACATGGCAACTCTGAAGTATGTATTCATTACAGTATTATCTTTCCCAATTTAAGGAGGACATAGTATTATTTTTTCCCATTTTAGAGAAGAGGCCACTGGGACACTAACATGCTGATCTGGCTCTAGAACCCATACTGTCAATGACTAAACTTGTAACATCTCTCAGAAGTTATTTTTCAAAAATATATTCATAACATATGGCCCTATCAAGTTATCACCTATACTTGAGAGGAAGAAATCTAAATCCTAGACCTCTTAATTCCCTCTACTACTTTGTCAATTAAACTAAAAACAGTGTAATAATTTAGTTACTGACGCTAAAAACAGAGCCTCCATGAAAATGTTTACCTAACTAAACTGTGACTCCTAAAATGTGTTAAATAAGAAAAATTCCAATTCCTATATAAATTATCCTATAGTACTTTTAAGTAAAATACCACTTGAAGGATTTCATATGAAGAAAATACTTACTTTACTGTTGTTTTACTACATTGTTCTTCTGGCTGAGACTGGTCAAAACTACGTTGATCTTCAAACAAAGCCTGGTGAATGCTACACTGTTCTTCAAGCAAAGGCTGGTCAACTTGTTCTGACAAAGGATGGTCAATTTTTCTTGGTTGCTTCCTAAGTCTTTCTTCTTCTGCCAAATAGAGATGTTTCAGATTATCGGGGTATCGATCTGTGAATTGAGACTCCAGTGACGTTTGAGCCTTCTTTTCCTTCCGTAGCAATTTCTTGTAACTTTTCTGAATTCTCAGTTTTCTTCGAAAGGCAAAGCCTTGTCCTACATTGAGTAATATCATCCAGAATTACTTTTAGAGAAAAGAAGAGGTTGAGCAAACAATGAAGCTGTTAATTACAAATGAAAACCATTTTTTAAAATACATCGTTACATTTAGATGCTAGGACTGTTTTGCTTTAAAAGATTATTTCAAGCAACAAATTTAAGCTGATGAATTCAATAGCAAATTGGCCCTTTGCAAAAGACCAGGCTAACAGTCGTGCAGACATCGAAGAAAGAATCTCAAAGAAAAACTGGCCAAAAACTGCTGCACAACTTGAGTTTATAGCTGTATTCACAAATTAAAATAAAATCGTTAGTTCATTTAAAACATTTAATCTGAGCCTTCAATAAATACTTAAAATAGAAAAAAAAAAGCCACATCTAGTATTTTATCTTGGACAAACTACAAAGCATGTTTTCGAAAATATTTCAACGCGAAAGAAAAAGACAGGGTATGGTTGTCTGAAAAGCTAGCAATTATCAGAAGACTGAATTTACTTAACATTTATATATTCTGAGTGGGATCTGAGGAACTTTACAGACAGCAAGACAAAAGGACAAACATAAAGCAAAGCAAAGGAGAGGAAGATAGTTAAGAGAAGACTTGAGGGCCACTCGGGTATTTGTAATAAGGAAGAATTCGGAGCAATTTATGTTTCTAGCCCAGTCCTCTCTACCTAAAAGTATATACGTAACACGTTCACAGGGAACACAAAGACGCTCTCTGCTCAGTTTCTCAAGAAAAATACAGAAAAAGAGTTCTGAGGAAACCCAGAGTTATGTCAGGGAAGGCGTTTAACTAATCAAAGTTACCAACACTGCTCCGTTTTCCTATCTAGAGCTCTACAAAGCTCACAGCTTCAGAGGGCTAAGGAATGGCTTCCCCTGCCGCAAGTGGGACCAGATCTTGTTCCCAAATCCTTCAAAGCTTCAGCGGGTCTGGTATCCTAAGACAGAGAAAGCCTGAGGACTTGCAAATAGTTTGCCTTCTTACATACCCTCGCGAACACTCCCCACGAAGGTTTGCGGATGGTTAGGCCGCCATGTCTTCTGTTTCACATTCTTATTCCTGCACCCGACAGGTGAAAGCCCTTCACCACGCGCCTCAAAACCACCATGCCGACACTTCCCTGTCTGCCTCACCGGCGCCATTGCAGCCGACCAACTGCGTCTCCAGAAGACTACAATGGACGCCCACAAAATACGTCACCAAGTCGAAGCAATCAATTGCTCAGCAGGAATCCGGCTCGGAGCTCTACTGAGCCTGCCTGTGCTAATATGGGCCGAGCTGGGGACTTACGGCCATGTTTGCGCCACCTACAGCCTGGGGGGGTGAGCGTCATGGCGGCTTTTTGCCCTCTCCCGGTGACCCCGGACCTGCCCACGCTGCGTGCCAAGTTGCAGGGACTGCTGCGGTTCCTGAGGGACACTCTGTCCATTTCCAATGCACACACGGTGGATTTCTACACAGAGTCCGTGTGGGAGGAGCTGGTCGACTTGCCCCCGGAGACAGTGCTGGCTGCAGTGAGGAAGTCAGCTTCGGAGGCCGAGCCCCGGCCCTCGCAGGCGCGCACCCTAATGGAAGCGGACGGGGACACAGGTGGGTGGTGGGGTAGGCGGGGCGGGAAGGGAGGCGGAGGAGAAGGTCCCAACCGGGGAAGCGAGCCCCCTGGTGGAAACCTGCAGAACCGGGTGCGCGGCGCGGAGGCGGGGCGACCGCGGCCGGGGGCGGGGCGGCCCTCTGGGAAACCGAGGAGGGGTCGGATTCGTGGAGGGTGAGGCCAGGATGTCGTTTGGAATCAGGATCTCTCTTTCTTTGGGTGGTTGTGTATTTCCACAATTTAAAGAAAGCAAGAAACAGGGCAGGGGAGTTCCTTCGTCTAGTGATTCGGTAATAGTTGCCGCGAGGGAAACTAGGGGAGCAGTGCTCTCACGGGGTTTATAAATTCTAGGTGGAATGCTCCACCAAGTGGTAGAATACTCAACAGTTAATGAAGTCAAGATAATTTCAGATGGTGGTAATGAAGTAGAAAATAAAAACAGTGTACTGTGGTAGGGATTGTATAAGGAGGCTGCCTGAGTTTAGGAGGTCAGGAACACGGGAAGGTACCAGCCTGCAGAACCACAGGAAGGGGTTGCGGGTGGCAGGATCCGCAGGCTACCCTTTGGCTCTAGCCAGGTGAGGGGCTGCAGGTGCAGGCCGAGAGGCAAGCAGAGGCCAGTGGCACAAGCCTTTCTAGGCCTTGGAAGAATTTTGGGTTTGAAGTGTGATGGGAAACCTTTGGGGTTATTTAGACAACATAGTGATCTAATTGACATTTGAAAAGATAATTGAATTATTTGAAGAATAGACTAGTGGGGCAAAAGCTTAAGCTGAGAGGCCAGTGAGGAGACTATTTCAGATGATTGTTGTCTTGGACTAGCATGGTATTCGAATATTCACTATTTCATTTAAAAACTATTTTAAAGTATCTAATATGTGTCATGAATTTTTGTAGGCTCTAGGTTTTTCTGCCCTGAAGAAATGTAGATTCTCTTAAGGCAAGTATATTTTAGAAGTAGAATGATGGACACCAAGAGGCTCCTGGGATTTTTACTTTCCTTCTAACCAAACTTACCCTTGTTAGTGAACTTTATCCGTTGAACATTCTCTGAATGCAAAGCATCACTAGAGGGACCTCTTATAATAGCACTTGGTAAATACTGGTTTCTTTAAAGTCATTGTTATTAAAAAGTTAGGCACTTCTTCAGTTTGCTTTCATAATAAATATATGGCACGTATGATAACATGACAATTCTACTTAAACTCCAAAAGAGCAGAGTCTGTGTCTGACTTGTCAACTGATGTATTCCTAGCACTTGGTAAAATGCTTGGCATACATTCAATACTGGATAAATATTTGTTGAATGAAGGAATTTATGAATTACTCATGTTAGTTTGAAATAAATAAATAAATGAAACTACTCTCAAGGTTAGAGGCTAAGACTTTCAAACTTGTTTATAAGCTTGGTCTCCATACAATGGTAGAGTTAGAGTGTCTTACATATCGTAATAATAATAATTGGATTAATTGATATTTAGTATATACCCTGTAGTGTGCTAAGTGTCTTAATGTATATTTTCTCTTTTAATCTTTACATCAGCCTTGCAAGATAGGTTCTGTTATTTTCTCTTTGTGAAATTATAACAAGAAGTTAATTTGTAAGGGACACAGCTTTGTAATGGAAGATTCAAACCTCGTCATTTGACTTTGAGCTCGTCACCACCATCATAAAAATGTACTCTGAATTATTTAGCAATTAATTACCAAGTCCATTTATTATCATAATCAGTATTTAATGACACACATTCCTTGTTTATTTTTTTATTGTCTGTTCCTCCCTTTAAGAATGTAGGAATTGTTTTGTTCATTGCTGTATCCTTAGTGCCTAGAACAATTAGATCAATGCCTCATTAGATTAGGTGGTTAATAAATACTTAGCAACAAGTAATTGAATAATACCACTTATTTGCTCTCTTAGGCTAGGAATAAAGTGCTAACATCTTTTGGGAAAACCTTACAACCAATTTTGTATCTATCCAGCAACAATGGAATTTAGGTTAGTTTGTGCACCTGTGGAATGTCTGTGGTCCTGCAAACTTTTTTGTACAAAATATTCCATTCTAAAAATGGTCAGCTGCTTGTAATATTAAAAAAGAGTGAGTTTTTATCATTTGTGCTTGTCAGAAATCTTCATTTTTGTTTATGTGAAGATGGACATTTTTCCCCATTACTGTATGAAATCGATTGTTCTTATCAGAAGAGATACTAGAATCCTATGAGCAGATTTGTATCCTATTGAATAATTATTAGCTATTATGGACAGTATATTTAGCAGTTAAATATGGAGTCAATAGGGTTCAAATTTCAGTTCTGTCTCTTCCAGTTCTGTGATCTTGAGGAATTTCATTTATTCATTCAGTCAGCAAACATTTACCAAGTGTCAACTATGTGCCCAGGCACTTTTCAAGGAGTTAGGAAAACAGCAGTGCATAAAACAAAAACCCTTACCTTCATCTTGCTTTCATTCTAGTGGGAGAAGATAGTCAAAATTATTTTAGTGCTATAGAGAAAAAGAAAGTTTAATAGGTAAGGGTGGAGTAAATAAGGGGAAGAAGAGGAAAATATGTTTGCAATTTTAAATAAATTGTTCTGGCAAGACCTCATTAAAGTAACTCTAACTCTGAAAAGATAAGAAGAAAAATGAGGTATGAAGATATCTGGAGGGAAAGCGTTCCACAGAGTGAGAACAGGGAACAGAAATGCATTGAGGAGGGAGCCTGCATGGTGTGTTTTAGGAGCTGCATGGAGACAGAAACAGATTTCCACTAGGGACTCACAAGGAGTATGGTCTTCTGCTGATATTGTATGAGGAGTTACAAGTAAATGTAGTTCCCAGAGCTGCATGCACAGTTTGGAAAAGTACACTAACAGATGTTCAGCACAATCATTTGGTGTTTTATGGAACAAAGTTGTTTCTAAAAGTCCTCAGTGTATCCATTTCAGTAGGTTTCTTGTGCCGGGTGATCTTCTTGTCTGGTTCGAGTCCTAAAAGTTTCTTGTTCATCTAAAAATAACTGGAAGAATAAAATTTAATTCTCCAAAATTAAAAAGAAATATGTTGGAAATTACCTTTTCAGGGCGTAAATTATGGCTTTCCAGACAGACTGCCTGGGTTCAAATCTTGACTCCAACACTTACTAGTTGTGCTAACTTGTACAGTTTGCTTCAACTCCTTGTGCATTAGCTCCTCATCTGTAAACTGGAGGTGACCTCAGTACCTACCTGATGGGATACTGTAAAAGGCAGTTTAGCTAATAGATAGAAAGGGATATCTTTAAGGTGTTATGAACAGCAGATGCCCAAGCTGGAGCTTGCTTGGTGCATTGTAAACACAACAGAGCGGTCCTGGTGAGGCTGGAAAAGTTGGGGTTTGGAGGTGGTCTAGGACAACTTCACATGAAGCTTGTAGGCTATATTCAGTACTTGGCTTTTATTCTGGGTGAAATGCAAAGCTCTCTGAGGATTTTGTGTGGTGATGTGATACACTGTGATTTATATTTCAAAGTCTGGTTTCTCTGTACGGAGAAGAGAGGGTAAGAAAGGTGAAGGAAGGTAAGGGAAGAAACAAGATTACAATATAAGAGGCTATTAAAATAGTCCAGGGACATTTCAAGGAATGGCAGCTTGAAGAGGTCAGATTCTCCAACAGACAACAATGATGAAAATTGTTGCCAGATTATTAAAAACAACTATAAGATTCTGGAAAATGACCAAAGGCAGAAATATACGAAGAGGTTGTTATTGAAAGACTGTTACTGATTGTGTAGGAAATGAGAGTTTATGGCTTTCTTGTTAGGGCTGCTCCCTGCCCCTATAGATTTAGCAGTGGAATACCACATCCTTGCTAGCTTAAGGTGGCAATGGCTAAATTTGGAGATCAGAGCAGGTGAAAATTTAAGAGGTACATTCTGGAAACAGGAGAGATACAAAAGGTCTGAGATCTAAGATCTGAGTATAAATTCTGCCTGAATCCCTGAATGATCTCTTGTCTACACATGCCTGGAAGACCAAGAGATCCTAGCAAAAACACTGGCAAAACAGGTGGGTGTTGAACTTTTGAGAGGCAGAGTTTTCCCCTAGCTAGAGATTTGCAAGTTTGCTGCACCTTCAACAGAGTGTATTCCCTAAAGTACACACAACTTGGGTGGTAAATATCAGAAGCCTTATTGAATTCTTGTATAAAAGGGCAAAATTCAAGTTTGTCAGAACAACTGGAAATTTAGACTAGGGAATCTTCAAATTGGAAACAAAGGAACCACAGAAAGAGTGAGCCTCAAAATCTGACTAGAAAATCTACCGAAATCTTTATCTGACTGCTAAACTCTAGGTTCAGGTCTACTGCCAGGCAGTGGGCAGATGAAGCAGCAGCAAAGCAGAGACATCAGCTGCTGCATTCTGAAGTGGGGATAGTTTTCACAGTTTGAGTCAAAGCAAGTCGCTGCATTCTGAAGTGGGGATAGTTTTCACAGTTTGAGTCAAAGCAAGTCGAAATAGAACAATCCCCACAAATCCTTAGGAAAACAAAATAGATTCACTACAATAAATTATCTGCCATTCCACTTTGCAACTAAAAAAAACTACGAGATATGAAAAAAAAAAAAAAGGAAAGAGTGACTCTAACTTAAGAAACTGCTTCCCAGTAAGGTCTAATGCTGGATTTTAGTACCTGTGATGAAAGAATTAAAGGATGGTATGACCTATATTTAGGAAAAAAAAGAGTAAGTCAATAAATGCCAATCCTAATTGGGCTAAGATGTTGGATTTAAGTGGCTATTATATATATATTCAAAGAACTCAAAGAAAATGCACTGGAAGAATGAAAGGAAACTATGGTATTAAGGAATATTTAATTATAGTACCTAATTTATGCCCCTTTTAAATGGAAAAGTACACACTCACTGACACACAATTGTATTAATGTTACGTACTATCTATTACTGCATAACGAGTGGCTTAAACCTATACCATCTCATCAGTTTCTATGGGTCAG